GACACTAACCGTTGAACTGAAGCACGCAGGACGCATTCACAAAAAAGAACTAATTGACGCAGATCGCCTTCTCCTTTGTTTTCTTATTTAAAAAGCGTGCGCATGGCGGAGACAGAAACGGAAAAACCATCGAGTAACTTGTACTCAACTCCATCACTTCATTTCCGCACAAGCAATATCACCGTTATGCAAAAATTCAGAGTTTGAGAGGTTTCAATCAAGGGGGTAAAATTTGAACGCTCATTCAAAATCCAATGCCTCCTTCATGTATTGCGATTTTGCTCCAAAAAAAACCTCCAAAATTTAATGATTTACTCTGGAACGCCAGTGTGAAGCAGTGCAAACACTGCTTTAACATGCGATGCACATTAGAGCTTGCAAAGCGAAGCAGAGATGCGATAAAGGAACACCTCGAGTAGATAAGAACATTGACAGCGGCACTCCGTACACAAATTTGCTTATTGGTCAAAGAGGAAAGTAAATGTTCAAGGGATGCGACAGGAACAAAAATCACAACAGACAGTAATAAGCTTGCTTTCGGGATGACAGACGAGTTCCCGCTACAGCTTTATCGATAGCGTGAATTCAAGCGATGGATAAAGGACTGCGCTTCCACGACCATTTGGAAGCGTAGTTCTTTATCCGTCGCTTGAGAATTACGCCGGGTCTAGTTAATGACTTTGCGGTGAAATACCGCAGACATCGTCTCCTATGCACCGAGTTTTTCTGTCCAATTCTACCTAGTCCATTGTGTTAAAGTCAGGCCTAGGAGAGATTCCAGTCACCAAAATTCAACAGCTACAAGATAAAAGTGATATCCAGATGCAACAGTTCCTGTATAACAACCATGGAGAAATACGATTATACTCTCTAATCTGATCTCGTCGACAACCATGTTCAACTACTTACGACGACTGGGACAGCTAGTTAAGTCGAAGGTACGGTTCTCCCATTCACAGTCCGATGGACCACTTGATCGACAAAGGATTCACTCAAATTACCAGTTCCGCCTGAGCCACGTCGTGTCGAGAATTCATGGCTGCTTGTCACCGAAGCGGCAGGGCAGTGCTGCTGTGCAGAAAGGGCTCCGCACGAAATTGACACTTATTGATGATTGGGTCTACTGCATGCGGTGCAGCCCTCTACTGGAGCCGTGTTCTACAAAAGCGGCAGAATGCTCGAAGATAAAAAGTTCGCTCTTAAACAATTAATACACCGGAACAATCGGAAAACAAGGAGTGGAAGATCAAAACAGAACACTCTATCGTGTAGGTGACTGTATCGTAACTGCGAACATTAGCTGGGGCTGGATGCAGCAAGCCTCAACTCGGGGATGGACCTTCAAAACTCTGCACTCTGGATGTTTCTCCTATTCTTGACCATGAGAGTTGCGTTATCGACCAGAATAGGGACGCAGAGTTTTTGGGGACCCAAATCCCGAGTTGGACCCTGCTGCAGTCGGCCCCAGTCAGAATCAACGGCGATTGCGTCCACTTAAGAGAAAAAATACGATCACCAAACCTATTAAATATAAAGTTCTTAATAGCCGAATTTTGAGCTACTCGAAAATAGAATGCTCACTTTAAGAGCAGGTAGCTCAGGGAACAATCTGAACTGATAGGTCTTCAAGAGATTTTCAAATTTACTGTTGGTAAATCAAGACCTAATGGCCGATGTCAGACTTTGCGATTGGAGCGATTTTGCACCAATCAATCGCAAAGTCTGACATCGGTCATCTTAACAAAAGCAACAATCATATTCGAGAAATACTGGCTGAAAGTGCGACCGATCTACTTCTACAACTTGGCACTGCATGAGTGTCTCTCCTCTAGAATGAGAACTGTAGACGTTCAGCAAGTTCAATGCTCTTAATATCGTCCAAATCTTCGACTGCTCGGTGCTGCGTAATTTGAGATACTTGCATAAGTTAAGGTTTATGGAATATGAGGAATGAGGGAACCAGGCACCTAGGGCTTGAAAAGCGATTGGAAGAAGTTCGCTCGGCCGTGTAGCAGATAGATGGGGAAATACTACAGTAAACTTCAAGGAATTATTGTACGCTGAATAGCGCAACTAATAATGTGAATGTTATTTTCAGTAAGCTTCCAATATCGAGCACGCCTGCACTCAGACTTTCAAAATAATCGTTGCTAAGCTTCGAGAGTATAAAAACGTACTTGATTGACGTTAAATTGCTCAATTGATCCCTGGTATCGCTGTCAAAATATACAGTTTCATTCATCCATAACACCGGGAAGGTGATGTTATTCATATTGGACAAAACACTATAACAGGAACTTTAAGAATGTTAAAAATAATCAATTACCACCTTAAAAGATGACTGACTTGAGGTTTCCTTTCAACATTCCAACATTGATTTGTGTTACCCTTTTTGCGAATATCGGCACTCCACTTATTGGTTCTATATCCACATATGTTTGATCATTCTCCTCGCTTGGCTTTCCCATGCCTTGTATGGATGATATAACCTGAAATTGAAAAGAATTTATCAGTAAATTAGGAATGATTGAGCCACGAAGAACTGAAGAATCGTAAATCAATAAAGTTTCAAATACTCCCCAAAATATGGAAACATTGTTCGAAAAAATTCTAAAAAAAAAGTCTGACCCACCGCTGGATCCGCACCGAAAAAGTGTGAGTTTGAAATGTAGATTCTCGGTGTTCCAGGGAGGCATCTCCCAATGTCTAGCAAGCCTTTCGGTAAACATCCAGCTGATGAGGAAATCATATTAGAGTGTCCACGTGGATACCATAAAGAATGTGCTTACGAATTTGAATGGACGCGTTGAAAAAAGTAGGGGTGCCATTCTTGTTACAAAACCCGCGGTTCTCAGGAATGCTCGGGTCAAACATCTTCGTAGGTAGCCCATAGCGAAAAGCGGTGACGTCTTGGAAATCGGATCGTCGCAGAAACTGCATGGCAATCGACCTTGAACGCAAGCAATAAAACGATGTTAGTTTACGCCAGCAGGCTCATAAGCAAAAATTTAGAGACCTGCACATTTGGCCTGCGAATACTTCAAGTTCCCTTCCTTCTTCAAGCAATGGAGGAAAAAGCTGTCCGTCTGTTCCTCGTATTTCGCGTGCGTCAGCCGAATCCCACACCGTCTCCGGCATCACAGACATGTTGTTGAACGTGAATACCTATATGTTTCTCAACATATTTGTATTAAACAAACAGGTGGAAAGTCAAGAATTTCAAGTTTGTAAAAAAAATCTTTAAAAAAAGTACACACTAGCATTGAAAAGGAGCAAAGGGTCCCTATAGGTTCCTTGCTGTAGAAAAGTACACACAGGAAGGAGTAAAGTGGACAAAACATACGTTATTTGGTAAAAAGGGGTATGAAAATTTAATTCCTTATAATGAATTGAGCAGCCAAGATTTAATCTCACATCAGCCCTATTTGAATATATTTGCAAAACTGCGAAGCAGAAACACCTTGCCGATACTGAACACATCGTTGAGACCAGTTGAGACTTCGTATAAGCCATCGTCGGTGTTGTTCTGCTGAAAATAATGAAGGCTTCAAAATGAATTCTAAGCATGCACAGCAAACATCGAACGAAACGAAAAAGCTATACCCCATAGAAAAATCCAATCCGCTCAGGAATTTTAGCAGCTTCACATAATTTTCTTAAGACCGGATTGTATGAGCATACTTTGCCAAGCAACGGATCTTGATATCCATCATACAACGCTTCTCTCACGCTGACCTGAAAGCAACGGCGTACATCGGCACCTCTGGACCAATATTAGGTTTGTCCAATAATTTGTAAACCTACATCGATAAAGGGAGATTCCCTTTTGAAATAAGCTAGAAGAGCCTCTATGGCGAATTTCGCTGGATATCCGCCCTGCTGTACGAAGTCTACTAATTTCTAAAGAAGAAAAATTAGCAATATACCAATGACAATCGGTACATGATAGAATTCTACCTGAAATACCACATTCGGAATCACTATTCGCTGATCAAGAGAACAATGCGCACACGATAGTGACTCATTGAAAACATAAACATGGTTGTTACGATAGAAAACTCTTGACTCGTTCTTATCGAATTGATAAGGTGACTTGTATTGACGCTCCCTGTAAACAACAGCCATGAACATGCAGTATATTACGGAAAATGGTTGATACTCACATGAATGTAAACGGCCCAATCTCCTGCACTCTAGGTTTGGCACCACGAAGAACCTCTGCATGATTCATCAAGTTGAACATCCAAATTTCTACTTGCATATGATATTCGGGATGAACCCATTTTTGCGTCATGGGGTTCAGACGTCTAGTACCATTCAGCTCTTCATAGCCCAAACGATCCCTCTAAAAAACTAAACTCACTGAAGAACATTAAAAAGGCTAGGACGGAAAGTCAACAAACTAACCGAAGAGCACGGTCCTGTCGACAATTCCTTCAATAACGGTAAGAGTCACAATACCCAGTAATATTGATAGTAACCCGAAGACCACCAAACACGCGAGACATACCTTCTCGCACAACGTCATGAAGATCGATTAGATTATTATGACGAAAATCTGAACAAAATCGCACATTTGCTTTTAAATGTTATATAAATTAAATAGAACGACAAGCTACAACACGGACACATCAGTAAACTGTTCCAGCACAGCAGCAGCTGATTCGACAGAACTATAATTGATGACTCAGAGTCATAGCGATATCAGCTGGTCAATGATGCCTCTGCATAGGCATCCACTCGCCACTCCCCCAGTTGTCGATGCATGGGCGGTGCTTCAGTAGTGTGACCTGTGCCAAGCGCTAGATAATGTTCCTGTTGCCAATATCTGTGCACAATGACGTTTACATCTGTAGAATCACATTTCTAGCGAGCCAATTTGAAGTCAAACTAATCAATTTCGGAACATTGGACTGTGAAGAATTGACCGCAATTACACAAGGCGCGTTACACTTCCTTTGTCATCTAGGTTTTTTTGCATGCAAGCTCTAGAATCAATATAAATTGGCACGTCCTTTTCCTTACCGGAATGCTTCACACAATGGTGCGAAGCAACCTTAATTAAAGAATCTCAGGGGTCGTTGTATATTTTATCCACTGGGACAATGGTCGCAGGAGACATTGGTAAGGAATGCGATGCAGGTAGCATAGTATAGTAATGAAACTACTAGGGTAGATGAGGTGGGGCTCGATCATTGCAAGCGTATAAATGCGCTAATGCAAGAATGAGGAGGTCAAGAGGTGAATCAAGGAAAGCTAAAATAGACAAATGCAAACTTATTCGCACCTAAATCATATGATCACATAGGTCAGCACCCAGTGTCAATCGTCCGTTCGTATTATTCTAACTAGGGTCGTATTTGCGATTTTGGGGGAAGAAATCATATGGGGTTTGTCAGTGTTACCGCCCTTCTGAGCGAAGAGGGGAGGGGGTCTTATTCGAGGGTGATCCCCTCACGTGTAGTGATAGAGGCCATATCGAGACCCCCTGGAAAGAGGAGGAAGGAGTCGTAAAATTTTTGAAAAAGTGCGAACGCGACGGTTGACCCTGCTCTAATCAGCTAAATATGTACCTATTAGTTGCTTTCCGTCGAAACACAATGCTCACTAGCAAAATCATATAACGGGAGAGTTACAACTTATGATTAGCTCAATGGAGGCGGATAGTGACAGCTCGGTGACAAGAAGAACAATTGACTAAATAGCGATGGTTCACCGACGGAAGAGGGGAAACGAACCATTTTCCTTTTTGCTGCTTGCGCTCAACAGTCCTTTCTTTCTCTACTCTACACCACTGAACCGATCCATTTTGTAATGCTACGATTATCGGGCCATCACTAACAGTAGTACCTCCTCCGGGAAGACTTTCACTCACTCAAAACACTTCATATCATGTCATTTATCCAGTTTCCCTTTTACTTACAATTAGTTAATGCAAACACGCAGATAACACCATCTCCTCTGATTGGGAGTTTTTTCCACCTAACAAGGTTACTTAGCTCTCTTGGGCGAGTCACGCTTGAATGCGAAGAAAGGTTGCCTCAGTTCACACAAACACCCACACCTGCGGATTTATGTTATAGCCAGTCTATTGTGATAGATACGCAAGGCAGGGTCGCCTGTGAGGTGACCTCACTTAACTGGTGATGGGTGTGCACCTTTAGTCAGGATTGACCTTTCACACCTCCTCGCCGTGGTTATCTCGCACCACCCTGTAACCTGCCTCTGGGTGGACCTCGCTTAATTAGCTGAGCTGAGTGCTGACCCAACTCCGACAGACTCATTATAGAGGATATTGATTGGTATAAATTCATTTATGCAGTAGCGGTTGGAGGAAACAAAATATCAGAAAAAATGGATAAAAATGAGAGCTCAAAAATAACTAATTTTTAGCTAATAGCATTCGCAGTGCAAGCCGTTTTCCACGCAGAACAGTTACGAAGTT